GGAAGAATACTTACATGTCGCTGATGCTGTAGTTATAGCAGACTACAGATGAAAAGCCGTGTAAAAAGATTCCGAATTGATAAAACTGTGAAATATTGAAATAATATCTGTCTATATTTCTGAGATGAGGTACTATGTACACGATTTGCATTATTCGGAAATTCATACACAGACGTTCTCAAGGACATATAGCACAGTGGATAAAGGCATTAGTTAGATCCAGTGACATGATACCAGGTTAAGGCAGTGGAGAACTTTCAGAGGGGATTTAACTAATAACTGATATCCATTAAACAAGGCACGTGGGACTAGAACAGTCTACCCCAGTGAGAGAAATAAAGGGTTCAGTTCAACATTCCAACCACCTGAAAAAGGCCGGAGCGTACAAGGGCCGAAACGTTGTAATAAATATGGCGACAAAGATGAGAACAATAGTCCGAATAATGTAGATAATGTACATAATACCTCATCTCAGAAATATAGATACTGAAAGGCCGCAACGTTGTAATAAATATGGCGACAAAGATGAGAACAATAGTCCGAATAATGTAGATAATGTACATAATACCTCATCTCAGAAATATAGACAGATACTGAAAGGCCGCAACGTTGTAATAAATATGGCGACAAAGATGAGAACAATAGTCCGAATAATGTAAATAGTGTGCATAATACCTCATCTCAGAAATATAGACAGATACTGAAAGGCCGCAACGTTGTAATAAATATGGCGACAAAGATGAGGACAATAGTCCGAATAATGTAAATAGTGTGCATAATACCTCATCTCAAAATATAGATGATACTGAAAGGCCGCAACGTTGTAATAAATATGGCGACAAAGATGAGAACAATAGTCCGAATAATGTAAATAGTGTGCATAATACCTCATCTCAGAAATATAGACAGATACTGAAAGGCCGCAACGTTGTAATAAATATGGCGACAAAGATGAGAACAATAGTCCGAATAATGTAAATAGTGTACATAATACCTCATGTCAGAAATATAGACAGATACTGAAAGGCCGAAACGTTGTGATGAATATGGCAACAAAGATGAGGACAATAGTCCGAATAATGTAAATAGTGTGCATAATACCTCATCTCAGAAATATAGACAGATACTGAAAGGCCGAAACGTTGTAATAAATATGGCAAAAGATGAGGACAATAGATAATATAGATAATGTAGAATCTCAGAAAATAGATCCTGAAAGGCCGAAACGTTGTAATAAATATGGCAAAAAGATGAAGACAATAGTCCGAATAATATAGATAATGTACATAATACCTCATCTCAGAAATATAGACAGATACTGAAAGGCCGAAACGTTGTAATAAATATGGCAAAAAGATGAGGACAATAGTCCGAATAATATAGATAATGTACATAATACCTCATCTCAGAAATATAGACAACTCCTAATCCCTGTTTTGTCAGCCATCTACCCTCCTTCGTTTGGTAAGTTTTGCACTAATTACCTGTCATTCTTTACTTCAATATAGTTTCTAAGCCGCCTTTCCTCATTAAATGTCTTATAAATTTTAACTGTCTCTTTTTGATGTCAATATAAGTATGAATTTCGTTTCCATTTTCTCTAAAATTTTTCCGTTGTTCGCATGTTCAGACGAGGGGTTTCCTAGCATGCTTCTGGAGAAACAAATTTCTTATGATTCAAGTCTCTCCTTTACTTGTGAAGAGTTTCCCAGCATTCACAGCCACATAGGAGGGATAATATTACATAACATACCAGTCCTCTTTCTAACGAATTTTTTCTCTTTCTTGATACTTTGCTCAGCTTTAGCAAGCCATCTTTTCGATATCCCAATACGTCATTTAACCACTAGTTGATAAAAATAACTCGTTTTTTTTTCCATTTGAAATAAAGAATAATTAGACGGAATAGACAATCCAGAATTTGCTGAGTTGAAACTGATTCGAAACCTAACTCGTTCACCAGTTGATCATTGATTTTTATCTTTCATTTCAGTCGCATCTACAGAGATTATACAAATGATCGACAGATCGATGATTCGGCGTTCGATAATTCCTACCGATCAATGGCTGCAGCCAACTGCTCAACTTGTTTTTTTCACGTTTGACTGGAGATGATTAATTCGCGCGGAAAAAAAACTGAAACGGAATACTCAAAGATTCTCAATTCACTGAAGCAGTGACCAGAAGCGTAAATAGCATAGACATTAAAGACAAAGAAATCTAGTCGTTCATCTAATTTAGTGACGTCACGTTATGTTTCAATATGACGTCATTGATTCTTTCATAGTGGATTAAGCAAATTTGATGCCTCAAAGAAATGTCGATTGTCCCGATTCCTCGGGAACTTATTGAAATATATGTTTTCATTCTTCTGCATGTTCAATTTGAAAATTGATTAATTCCGAAATTGAAATATATAATTAATTACTTAGATCAGATTTAAGCTTGATGAGCATTTAAGAAGAATTTGTGTGTAGAACATGTATTTTTTTTTTTTTTTTTTTGAAAATCGAATCTTTTGTTTAATGTTTTCTTCTCCTATGCTATTCTCCTTCAGGACGTCGCCGATCTTGGCTCCCCACAATTTCTCGTCCTTTGTACCTCTTACTAATATTTGCCTCTTCACTATCTATCCTAAACACGGTTCTGTCGTCACATTTACGCAAGTTCGTAAAGTAAGTTATGCGCTGTTAAAAACGAAAATGCCTTCCAAAACCTGAGCAAAGTATTAAGAAACTGGAAAATATTGTTAGAAACAAAGAGAAGAGTACGAAACTGTTATGTAATACCAGTCATCCTACATGGCTGTGAATACTGAACAATCTCCTCACAGATGAAGAGACTTGAAGCAAAAGAAATGTGGTTCTACAGAAGGATGCTGAGAATACCATAGACTGAACACGTGATTAACGACGAAGTTTTAAAGAAAATGTAAGCAAAACGTTTACTTATACTTAACATCAGAAAAAAAACTGTTGAAATTTCTGTGGCAGATAATGAGGAAAGGGGGTTTGGAAAATTTGATACTCACAGGAAAGATTCAAGGCTTGAGGGCAGACGAAAATAATGCATAAGGCTCCTAGCAAGGTTGAATGCATGGATGTAAGAACAGAGTAGCAGATAAAACAAAAAGAAAATCATTAAGAACTACAAAGGAAAGGAAATTGTGGAGAGCCATGATTGACACAGTCCTGAATGATATTGTCCAGCATTTACTGGCATATAGAAAGACTTATATTATACTTAATGTAAGAAATACTATTATAGCTACTATTTATTCGTTTATGTACCATGTCCTTTCAGAATATGAATGGCTATAACTCTCTACAACTTCCTGTTTTTAATCTATGTAACCCTTTCTGGTCTTTGTTCAGTTATTGATTTACATTCACCAAGTAGCTTTACTTGCATCTTTCTTCTTCTTCTCTTGACTTCAGTGCACCCAGTGAGTTTTATTCTCCAAGCCTTCTTTCCTTGTTTAGGTACATCCAGAATTTCACCTGTCTCGTTTTGTTGTCAATAATTTCTTTCTTTCGTAAAACTGTCTCGTTTTTATACGATCTCTCTTTCAACTATAGGTCATACCAAAGATTACACCTGAATAAGTATTAATTAAGATATTTAAGCTTCAAAATACACCATTGTGCAAATTAATTGAAACAACCGATTTACTCTCCTTTCTTTCACCATACGGTCAGTTTAAAACCCACTGGAGTGACAGGGTGTAATCGATTTGTATTTTTTCCTCAGGTTAGGTCATTTGCAGTAGTGTGCGGTAATATGAATCTATTTTCGGGGTGTATGATGAAAAATATTACGCCATCTGTGATTGCATCATATTTTTATCACGCCCAGACATATTATCTCGACTGTCGATTAGTTGTCCTACGGCCATTGTCTGCGACGGATGTTATTCCAAGGAAGCGTAAGAAAACTATAATACTGCAAGAACACACTGGCAAGCTTTTCAGAGAGATCTCGGATATTATTGGTGTCAGCCTTTCCTCAGTCAGTTGTGTCATCAAGCCGAAGAAACAAAGTGGATCCATCAGTCTAAAACGTAAAAGAAGGTAAAAAAACAACGCCAAAAGACGACGTATACGTGATCTGGGAGAGTGTAAAAGATCCTAGGAAGAAAAGTGATGACATAAAAAAGAGATTTACAAGTTAAAGGGATAAATGTCAACTCCTCAACGGTCAGGCGATGGCTTCTGGCTGTTTGGACGCAAGGCAAGGCGACCCGTGAAAAAGCAACTTTGACGAAAGCTACGATGGAAAAATGTTACAAACCTGGCCTGAAATACAAAAAAATTGGACGAAAGAACAGGGGAGAAAAGTTATTTTCCGCGACGAGAATAATATTTTTTGTTCGGGGACAAAGAAGCCAGCATGTTCGCAGGTCAACTGGAGAGAAACTTTGAGAGTGCCACATTAATCAATTCGTAAAGCATCTCTTGAAAAAGATGTTTGGGACTGAATTATTTACTACAGATTTGAAGTTTTGCATGTCGTTGAAGGCATGATGCGCGAACCGCAGTACATCGAAGTTCTCTGAAGTGTCGTACGAGAGCTGAATAAGAGGTTTCCTGATGGATCCAGTATTTTTCAGCCAGATCTGACCCAGTGCCATACCTCAGAACTTGTGAAGGGATTTTTTTTTTTTATCCGTGAGCAAATCAAAGTATTAGACCGTCCCGGAAACTATCCTGATTTAAATCCAGTCGAGAATCTGTGGTCGATCTTCAAGGAACGACTTCGTGGAATGAACTGTACGACGAAAGCTCGTGATGGTCATTGTAGGCAGGTGGTACCGTGACTTCAAAATCAATGAGGACTGCTCCAAATTAGTGGATTCCTTGGCAAATTGCATCAAAGAGCTTGTAAAAAAATAAAGGTGGACATACGAAGTACTAACCTGTACACCGAGTCATATTTCATTTGAAAAATACGAAAAGAATAACGGAATTATTCGTTTTGTTTCAATTAACTTTCACAAGGCTTGCAGTCATTACACATTGATATATCGGTTCTCGTACGATCACCGAAGTTAAGCAACTTTGAACCTGGTCAGCACTTGGATGTCCGCTTGGGAATACCAGGTGCTGTGAGTTTGGATGTGCGAAGGCGCAGTAATCGGATGGCCGGGTACAAATACCCGTTGGCTTCCTTCTATCCACTTAGACTGAAATGCCCTTCAGACAGGTATGAATCCATCTCTTCTTCTCCCCAGCTATGGGTTAATTAGTAAAACGTATCACTAAACCATTATTATCTTTTAAAAAATTATTTAAATCTAAAAATAACTGCTGGCTAAATCGTAAAAACGAATGATATTTTTCGGCTTTAAAAAATGTACAAAAGCATTGTTTACATTATTCGGACTGTTATCCTCATCTTCATTGCCATATTCACAATATTTCAGCCGCTGTACGCTCCGGCCTTCATCAGGTGTTTGGAATTTCGTATGGAACCCTTTATTTCGTTCACCGAAGTAGATTGTTCTAGTTCCACGTGTCATGCCGTTTCCGGATGCCTCAGTTATTTCCCTTAACATCACCTGAAGACAGACAGAGTGTACAACAGCCGAAACGTTGTGAATATGACAAGGAAAATGAGGATAAGAGTCAGAATAATGTAAATAATGCAAGTAATCATACATACCTTATGTCAGATATATAGAGGCCGAAACGTTGTGAATATAGCAAAGAAGATAAGGGTAAGAGCCTGAATAATGTGAATAATGCAAGTTATAATAATACCTCATCTCAGAGATATAGAGGCCGAAATGTAGTGAATATGACAATGAAGATAAGGGTAAAAGTCCGAATATTGTGAATCATGCAAGTAATCATAATACCTAATCTCATTGATATAGAAGCCGAAACTTTGTGAATATGACAATGAAAATAAGGGTAAGAGTCCGAATAATGTGAATCATGCAAGTGATCATAATACCTCATCTCATTGATATAGAAGCCGAAACTTTGTGAATATGACAATGAAAATAAGGGTAAGAGTCCGAACAATGTGAATCATGCAAGTGATCATAATACCTCATCTCAGAGATATAGGCAGATATTGTATGTACAAAAGTTAATAAAAAAGAATCAAATCGATTAAGTTTCGTAATAATTAATAGTTACAAGTAATTATAATCTAATTTTTTGTAAAAATGGAATCGATGCGATGACGAATGCAGTTTAGCGTATCACAATAATGAAAAACAATGATGAAAAACGAGAGTTGAAATCAATAAAACGAGTTAAAGAAGTTAAAGCCACGAAGAAAATATTTACAATCTTCATCTAAAAAAAGAGTGGGTGTTAGCTGTCTTCAGAATTAATTTATATGCAATCCGGGTTAAAACAGTTATGCTGACACAAACATTTCCTGTATTCAAAGAAATTCATAGCATCATTATTCAGTCATCAAAGTATGTTCGGTAGTTTCCAATGACCTTACTCTCTTTCAGCTAAATTGTGAATTTGGACATAACAGCTTTCGTTCTGAATCGATGATTTTTTTCTGGAGGTTCCTAATATTCTTGGAATAAAACAAGTTAGTGTTTGTTAAAGTTTTCTTTTCTTTTAATTATTTCACCCTAATTATGGCAATAAAGCCCCTATGACTTAAGGGATTAATGAATGTGAAAAATAAGAAAACTAAAAACATTATTAAGGCGATAGAACAATAGCAGAAGAATGAAGAAGACAGTAGATAATTATTGACATTGGATTTAAATATTTGAAGATCAAAGTTGGCTGGAATGCAAAAGGCCAGAAGAGAGTTCCAAAAGTGAGAATTTTGTGGAAAAACTTTTATCATAGAAATTAGAGTCACAGCTAGCTATTTCGACTGTCAAATGATGAGGCCTTGTTGCCAGTCTAGTTACCATAGAACAAATTTCATCAGAAGAATTACCATGAAAATAGTTCGTTCTAGCACAATGATTATTTGCTGCGTGGCATTGCAACATGAGCATGTCACTGTCTTAAAAGAGAATAACCTATAAAATTCCTCATTCCTTATGTCTCAGATGAGCGAATCAACACGTTAAATCTTTCTGTAAATTCAAATATTCCTTGGTCTGACTCTTCATTTTGAATTTTTTCTAACCGTTTACGCTTATTTTTTAGCGACAATAATGATTTAGTGATACATTAGAAGTGGAGAGAAGACGTGGAGGCACGTAAGTGAATATAACGGACCCGATTGGAATTAGACCTCTTCTCACCAAATTCTAATTCCGAGCAATTAACCAATACACCACCGGAACATCCAAGCTTACTGCACCTGGTATTCTCAAACGGTTACCCATTTAGGTACTGACCTGACTTCACGTTGCTTAACTTCAGTGATCGTAAGGGAACCAGTGTTTCAGCGTGATTTTGTACGAAAGCAAAATAGCAATCCGCAAAAAATTCATAAAGAACCTGCATATACAAGAAATAAAAAGTTGCGTTTCTCCATGACACTTCTAAGATTTCCCTAAAAGTGTGAAAAAGTTGGCGCTGGGAACTTATGCATCAAGTTAAGTTTATTATATATATATATATATATATATATATATATATATATATATATATATATATATATATATATATATATAGGCAAAATATTCGAGTCCCGTTAATGAGTGTATTCGAAAAGAAATTATGGCATTTCTTCAATTGGGAAATTGCTTGAGTAAAGTTTTAACACCATATATGCGCGTCTTTGGGTGCACGTGTGAGTGTGTGGATGTACTCAAGAGCCACTCAAGATAGAGGGTTACTGAATAATGTGTATAAAGTGAATAAATCTAATAGCAGTCGGTACAAATTGGAAATTATGAGGATAGGGAAGATAGATAACGATTGACACTTAAATTGAACAGAAGGGCTCGAGCCTGTACCAAAAAGTATTGGTTTAGTGGGGTCAAAAGTAGAGTGGAACTGATTTCTTATCTTAGGAATATGGGGGTAATGTGAGTGATTCGAGTCCGTAGAAGAGGCATAGTGTGTTTTAAATGTTTGACACCTTGGAACTAAAGATAGAGTCTCATGCGAATATTTGCTATGGATATAGTGATAAATTAGGGACCGGCTTGCAACGTTGCATCTGTGAGAAAGAGACTTCAAGGTAAAGAATAAGTCTTCATTCACAAGACCAGGTAAATGATTTAGGAATACATCAAGGTGAGGATTGAGTCTTTCCTGACACGATATGGAATTTAATCTAATCTGACAACGTGACAGGTTCGTTATGGAGGTCGATAGAATGAACCGAAATTTTTTTCTAAAATCTATATCAGGGATTCTCAACGTGGTCCACAAGGTCTACATAGCATTTTTAGCGAGCCACAGAGAAATCATAGACAGAAAAATAAGTGTAGCCATTTCAAAAAAATGTATCTAAATTAATCATACTTAGAAGAATTAAAAAATATGATACTCAGTTTAATTACAGACATGTACATTATAGTTAAAATTTTGAAATTACGTACGTATTATGTAGTGCTATATTTATATTTTTTATCATATATTTATTATGAATGGACTAAGATTGAATGACATCATCAAAATTGATTATGATATCTTGTGTCAGAAACATCAAGATCAAGGTAGTCATTAGCTGAATGAACTAAGACTGAATGACATCATCAAAATTGATTATGATATCTTATGTCAGAAACACCAAGAACAAAGTAGTTCCTACCTGAATGAACTAAGACATAATGACATCATTAAAATTGATTATATCTTGTGTGAGAAACACCATGATCAAGGTAGTCATTAGCTGAATGGACTAAGACTGAATGACTTCATCAAAATTGATTATGATATTTTGTGTCAGAATCACCAAGATCAATTTAGTCACCAGCTGAATGTACTAAGACTGAATGACATCATCAAAATTGATTATGATATTTTGTGTCAGAATCACCAAGATCAATTTAGTCACTAGCTGAATGGACTAAGACTGAATGACATCATCAAAATTGATTATGATATCTTGTGTTAGAAACACTAAGATCAAAGTAGTCACTAGCTGAATGGACTAAGACTGAATGACATCATCAAAATTGATTATGATATCTTGTGTTAGAAACACTAAGATCAAAGTAGTCACTAGCTGAATGGACTAAGACTGAATGACATCATCAAAATTGATTATGATATCTTGTGTCAGAAACACTAAGATCAATTTAGTCACTAGCTGAATGGACTAAGACTGAATGACATCATCAAAATTGATTATGATATCTTGTGTTAGAAACACTAAGATCAAAGTAGTCACTAGCTGAATGGACTAAGACTGAATGACATCATCAAAATTGATTATGATATCTTGTGTTAGAAACTCTAAGATCAAAGTAGTCACTAGCTGAATGGACTAAGACTGAATGACATCATCAAAATTGATTATGATATCTTGTGTTAGAAACACTAAGATCAAAGTAGTCACTAGCTGAATGGACTAAGACTGAATGACATCATCAAAATTGATTATGATATCTTGTGTTAGAAACACTAAAATCAAAGTAGTCACTAGCTGAATGGACTAAGACTGAATGACATCATCAAAATTGATTATGATATATTGTGTTAGAAACACCAAGATCAAAGTAGTCACTAGCTGAATGGACTAAGACTGAATGACATCATCAAAATTGATTATGATATTTTGTGTCAGAATCACCAAGATCAATTTAGTCACTAGCTGAATGGACTAAGACTGAATGACATCATCAAAATTGATTATGATATCTTGTGTTAGAAACACTAAAATCAAAGTAGTCACTAGCTGAATGGACTAAGACTGAATGACATCATCAAAATTGATTATGATATATTGTGTTAGAAACACTAAGATCAAAGTAGTCACTAGCTGAATGGACTAAGACTGAATGACATCATCAAAATTGATTATGATATATTGTGTTAGGAAACACCAAGATGTTAGAAACACCAAGATCAAAGTAGTCACTAGCTGAATGGACTAAGACTGAATAACATCATCAAAATTGATTATGATATATTGTGTTAGAAACACTAAGATCAAAGTAGTCACTAGCTGAATGGACTAAGACTGAATGACATCATCAAAATTGATTATGATATATTGTGTTAGAAACACCAAGATCAAGGTAAGTCACTAAAATTGAATGGACTAAGACTGAATGACATCATCAAAATTGATTATGATATATTGTGTTAGAAACACCAAGATCAAAGTAGTTCTAGCTGAATGGACTAAGACTGAATGACATCATCAAAATTGATTATGATATATTGTGTTAGAAACACTAAGATCAAAGTAGTCACTAGCTGAATGGACTAAGACTGAATGACATCATCAAAATTGATTATGATATCTTATGTCAGAAACACCAAGATCAAAGTAGTTCCTAGCTGAATGGACTAAGACTGAATGACATCATTAAAATTTTATTATATCTTGTGTGATAAACACCATGATCAAGGTAGTCATTAGCTGAATGGACTAAGACTGAATGACTTCATCAAAATTGATTATGATATCTTGTGTCAGAATCACCAAGATCAATTTAGTCACTAGCTGAATGGACTAAGACTGAATGACATCATCAAAATTGATTATGATATCTTGTGTTAGAAACACTAAAATCAAGATCACTAAATGGACTAAGACTCATCATCAAAATTGATTATGATATCTTGAAAACACTAAGGAGTCACTAGCTGAATGGACTAAGAATGACATCATCAAAATTGATTATGATATCTTGTGTTAGAAACACCAAGATCAAGGTAGTCACTAGCTGAATGGACTAAGACTGAATGACATCATCAAAATTGATTATGATTATTGATCAAAAGTATCTAGCTGAATGGACTAAGACTGAATGACATCATCAAAATTGATTATGATATATTGTGTGGACTAAGACTGAATGACATCATCAAAATTGATTATGATATCTTGTGTTAGAAACACTAAGATCAAAGTAGTCGCTAGCTGAATGGACTAAGACTGAATGACATCATCAAAATTGATTATGATATTTTGTGTCAGAATCACCAAGATCAATTTAGTCACTAGCTGAATGGACTAAGACTGAATGACATCATCAAAATTGATTATGATATCTTGTGTTAGAAACACTAAAATCAAAGTAGTCACTAGCTGAATGGACTAAGACTGAATGACATCATCAAAATTGATTATGATATATTGTGTTAGAAACACCAAGATCAAAGTAGTTCCTAGCTGAATGGACTAAGACTGAATGACATCATCAAAATTGATTATGATATATTGTGTTAGAAACACTAAGATCAAAGTAGTCACTAGCTGAATGGACTAAGACTGAATGACATCATCAAAATTGATTATGATATATTGTGTTAGAAACACCAAGATCAAAGTAGTCACTAGCTGAATGGACTAAGACTGAATGACATCATCAAAATTGATTATGATATATTGTGTTAGAAACACCAAGATCAAGGTAGTCACTAGCTGAATGGACTAAGACTGAATGACATCATCAAAATTGATTATGATATATTGTGTTAGAAACACCAAGATCAAAGTAGTTCCTAGCTGAATGGACTAAGACTGAATGACATCATCAAAATTGATTATGATATATTGTGTTAGAAACACTAAGATCAAAGTAGTCACTAGCTGAATGGACTAAGACTGAATGACATCATCAAAATTGATTATGATATCTTATGTCAGAAACACCAAGATCAAAGTAGTTCCTAGCTGAATGGAATAAGACTGAATGACATCATTAAAATTTATTATATCTTGTGTGATAAACACCATGATCAAGGTAGTCATTAGCTGAATGGACTAAGACTGAATGACTTCATCAAAATTGATTATGATATCTTGTGTCAGAATCACCAAGATCAATTTAGTCACTAGCTGAATGGACTAAGACTGAATGACATCATCAAAATTGATTATGATATTTTGTGTCAGAATCACCAAGATCAATCAATTTAGTCATCAAAATTGATTATGATATCTTTGAATGGACTAAATGGACTGAATGACATCATCAAAATTGATTATGATATCTTGTGTCAGAATCACCAAGATCAATTTAGTCACTAGCTGAATGGACTAAGACTGAATGACATCATCAAAATTGATTATGATATCTTGTGTCAGAAACACTAAGATCAAAGTAGTCACTAGCTGAATGAACTAAGACTGAATGACATCATCAAAATTGATTATATCTTTTGTCAGAAACACCAAGTTCAAGGTAGTCATTATCTGAATGGACTAAGTCAGAATGACATCATCAAAATTCATTTTGATATCCTGTGTTTATCCTTGTTTACTAAAATAAATTTTAAAATGTAAATAGACTACTTTGTCTTTTCATTGAATATTTTAGT